TTAGGGAATCCTGCACCCTAAAAAAGGTGCACACACAGTAGAAAAAATTAGCTCATATGAAGAAGCAACCTAAAGACACATTGAAAGATATTCTCATTTTTATTCTGGCTCCTTCCTAGGAAGTTAGTATAAGTGCAGTGTATAAAGTACATTGAGTTCCTAACATGACACCCAAGGATTCAGGCAGTTCCAAGGAGCCTGTGCATGTGGCCTTCCTGATCTGTGGGCCCTTGGTTCTACTGTGACTTTTCTGCCACTGCTGCCACTGCATTAAAATAGTAAGTGAGGGAGCTTTTGGGGAGATTCAAACCAGAGCTGATGATTCGCTCTGCAAATTTCCATTGAGTTACTGAAGCTACTATAGCGTGACTCACAAAGCTATTGAAATAGCACAGGAGGAAGGAATTGACCTGTGCATATGGAACCCTGACATCAGCACCAGCCACTTTCATGGCCTAGAATTGAAAATATCTCTCAAGGGCTTACTGAATGCATGGAACTTAAAAACAGGATATTCAGGTTCATGGCCAGAGCTGGAAAAGAAGCTTCAGAGGGTGATGCCTGGCCCATTAATTAGGTATAACCTCCTCTGTCTAAGCAAGACTTTCTTCACTTTTAAATGCCTGGGATGGTCTATAGTTAAAGACCTTGTGTATTTTTCTTCAGCTTATAAAATGTGATATGATATTTATTAACAGCTTTGCTTAAATAGTAGAAGAAAATTGTCTTATTCATCTATGTTCGTTAACATTCTCTAAGCCACAGAAATAAGAGTCAGATGAGTTCCAAACTGCAAGAATCTAGGTTACTTTATGGGCACGGGTAATGATTTTCATTTTAACGCAAAGAGAAGAGGGGAGGAATTACCCACATTCTATTGGGAATCCACTCTCTCAGGGGTTGGTGTTAAAAAGTTGAGTGCTAGGACCGGCTGTGCCTATTGCCTGGTGCCATCCTGAACCTTGGGGCCTGGGGCTGCCTCATGCAGACCAGAGCAGACTTCTCAGGGTCTGTGCTGTCGGACTCCAGCAGTGAAGCAGCCCCCACACGTTCCCCAGACACTGGATTTGGTTGTAGTTTAACTCATTATTATGACTTCTCCTGTTTGTTCTCATTGCTCCCAAATTATAGCAGCTGGAGGCAATTCAATTTATATAAAACATGCAGGCAGTAAAAGTTTTAATAACTCTATTAATCCATTTTCTAGAACGTCCTGATTATTGCTGTTTATTATCTTGTGGCAGGTACTTCGCCCAGAGCTCCCAGATGGGCCTCCATCTCCCCCATCCCCCCTCCAGGGCACACACCATAAAGTTAGATTACTGAAGTGTCCCGGATGGGTGCATGGTTCTGCCTCAGGGACTCAAGCTACTTCTTGTCCACATCCTGTGTTCCCTTCTTGGAAGGAATGGAGAAACCCTTCAGCAGAGGGAGGGGGGAAAGATGCAGTGGTCATTGTAATAAACAGAGGAGCCCAGCTGGGTGAGATCTACCCTCTTAACAAAATTTTCAGTGTACAATGCCGTATTGTTGACTTTAGGTCCAAAGTTGTACAGCAAATCTCTAGAACTTACTCATCTTATACAAGTGAAATTTTATACATCTAGATTAGTAACTCTCCATTTCCCCTTCCCCCCAGCCCCTGGCAACCACCATTCTACTCCTTGATTCTATGAATTTGACTATTTTAGATTCCACATGTAAGTGAGATCATGCGGTATTTGTCTTTCTGTGACAGGCTTTTTTCACTTAGCATAATGTCCTCAAGGTTCATTCTTGTCATTGCATAGTACAGAATTTCCATCCCTTCTAAGGCTGAGTAACATTCCATTGTGTGCATACACCACATTTTCTTTATCCATTCATCTATCCAAGGACATTTAGGTTTCTGCCACGTCTTGGCTATGGTGAACAGTTGCACGGTGAACATGGAGTGCTAATATCTCTTTGAGATCCTGATTTCAGTTCTTTTGGATAAATACCCAGATGTATCTTGAATTTTTTTTTTTTTTTTTTTTTTTTTTTTTTTTTTTTTTTT